ATATTATGTTATTCTTACTTGTAACACTTTAAAAAAAAAATACGTAAAAATGTTCAAAAAGTAACCAAAAATAAATAATTATTATAAACAGACAATAGCAGGAGCAGCTCTATGTGATTTTAAAATTAGGACTAACATTTAGAGCGAAACTTAAGCTCATGGATCCATTGCATTCATTCAAATTAATATTATTTAAAATCATAAATTTTATTAAAACGAAATACGAAATATTAAAACTGACCCTCCAATTGGAAACTCTGCACGTTGTAAAACATTTGTTTTTACATTCTGGAATTCTATACTATGTCATAACTCATAAGTCATAACAATATAGCCATTATATATTATATTATATAATTATATATATACGGGTTGTCCCGCGAGAATTTTCCCATTGCGATATCTCACATACTAATGGAGATATCAAAATTCTGGTTTTATAATAAGATTCACAGGGATAAGAAATACAATTATTTCATTTTTTAATTTATTTTAATGTTTTTGTAAAAAAATTAAAAAATATATTTTTTTATTTAATTATTTCAAAAAAAAAATTAAAGATAGCCATTTTGTTGAGTTTATTTTWCTGAAAATATTGACGTTTCAAAATTTTATTTTCATTAATTTCCTGATTTTTAATATTTTTTAGTTTTGAAGAAATAAAATATGATTATAAATGTATAACTATTAGGAACACAGAAAGTATTCGGCCGGCCGTAAGGGAATGCGGGTGGCGCGGCGGGTCACATGTTTGATAACATTATTACGGTGTTAAATAATTCACAATTTTTCTCGAAACTAAAAAAAATATTAAAAATCAGGAAATTAATGAAAATAAAATTTTGAAACGTCAATATTTTCAGAAAAATAAAAAATGGCTATCTTTAATTTTTTTTTGAAATAATTAAATAAAAAAATATATTCTTTAACTTTTTTACCAAAACATTAAAATATGAAATAATTGTGGTTCTTATCTCTGTGAGTCTTATTACAAAACCTGAATTTCGATGTCACCATTATTTCGGGAGATATCGCAATGGGTAAATCCTCACGGGGCCTGTATATATATATAGCCAGGATGGTCTTAAGGGCCGTAAYTAATAAAAAAAAATGTATAGCCATTATAGGTATTATAAGACTGACCATTTGGCATTTATGTACTATTTCGAATTTAAATACGAATATTTCTTTTATAATTTTTAAAACATTGAATATCAGCTATTCAGGTGTATTTTGAATAATTCAACGATAAATTTAGAGAATTAAAACTAACGGGCACAGTTCACTGATCAGAAGCGCATCACATTGATCAGCCAACAATCGGCGCGCGTTTGGCGTCTGGTGGATCGTAACACGTTTTCGCATATCGATAAGAAATGTATTATTCTTATTTCTTTTTAGATAACGCAATTTGTAGAGCTAGTCGGTGTTTTTTATACAACTATACAATTAAACAAATAGCCTTGGAACAATTCATATCTAAACTGACGATACCCGTTTGCGTACATTTAACCTTTTTTGCGACTTGTTTGCGTACAAATGTACAACTCGATAAACTAAAGCAAAAGTCTACTAAAACCCTTAACAAAAATAATATTTAAGATTGTTTTCAACGTTTTCCTTGCATCTTAACAACAGATCATTTGATTTTAAAACACGAAACTCACTATACTTATAGTTTTCAATATTAAAACAACGTTTTCCTCTGCGCGTTTCAAAAACATTTGATATTTGAATGTCCATAGACCATAGTACTACACGAAATATAATGACTATGCTATCTACATACATTCGTATGCATTACACGTTCGACTAAATAATAGGCATATAGTAACATCCAGCGGTCATCAATAACAAACACATTTATCTAAAATCACATTATCGTTTAGAATCTCACATTAGTTAATCAATTTCGTCATTTCATGTAGATTATTGAAATTTTGCTCTACAAGTAACAATTTAAGTCTAATTTAATAGCTGTACGCAAACGAGTTGTCATTTTCAGGTCAAAATTAGAATTAACCGGTTTTCACGTTTTTCGATGTATGCAAACGGGTTGTCAGCTTACAGGTAAAAAAGTTGTGTACTGTGCGCAAACGAATTTCACCAGATAAAATACACACACGAAAAAGGGCTGCATCCGAGTTGGGTCCCGAATTATTTTAGGTACTACACTAGTTGGGTCCCGGATTTTTATAGTTACTACACTAGTATTGGGTCCTGAATTATTTTAGCTACAACATTAGTTCTTGAATATGTTTTGGTAAGTACTACACTATACATACTAACATTTTCCTTCCCATTTTAACAAACTTAGAACTGTCTATAATCTATTTAGACCACAGATATGGTTAAAAATGTTTTTTTGCTTTTCCATTAAAATATAATTTATTATAATTTTATAAAAAATAAATCACTTTTGTGTTGATAAAAATATTAAAAATTTTAAAAACCAAGTATAAAAATACATATTATATAATATAAATATAGCCATATATAGGCGTAAGTGAAAAAATATTAAAAAWTTTATAATTCTTCATATACCTATTATACCTATTATATGGCTATATTTAAATTAAATAATATGTATTTTTATACTTGGTTTTTAACATTTTTAATATTTAAAAAAAAAAACTGTAAAACACATTTTTAACCATACCTGTGGTCTAAATAGATCATAGACAGTCTGTTAAAATGGGAATGCAAATGTTAGTATAGTGTAGTACTTACCAAAAAATATTCAGGAA